GCTGATATTTGTTTGTGTTTTGATACTTTGTACCAGGCACAGTATTATTGAAACTAGGTAAAGTAATATTTGTATTATTATTAGTTCCTCTGTCTCTTATCAGGCTGTTAAATGCTCCTATAGATTCAAACAGACACATGGTGTAGATCAGTGGCCAGATTGCTTGCAGTGTGTCCTCCAGCATCTAGGAAAACCTTTAGGTTTGAATACCAGACTTATTTGACTAAGGAATCTTGGCTTTTTCTCAATTCTTTTTTTTTCTTTTCTTTTTTTTTTTTTTTGACATACAGAAGTGTGAGTCAGAGATGATGCATGCTGCCATGATTTGAAAAATATAATCCAAATAGGAATGTATGTAAAGTCAGATGAAGAACACATTGAAACTATTATTTTAATAATTAAAAGAAAAGTATTGGAAACCACAAACTTAGGCAAAATAGTTGCAAAAAAACAAACAAAAAAAACAACAAATTTTGGATCCCAGGTCACTTTACTTAAAACAGAGGGTCAATTTGCCAGCATACATATTTTTTACTGCCTTTTTGGCCCTGCCCCTACATTTCATTCTTATTTCTATCTCAAGAGGAAAGATAGAAAGAAAGATGTTTGTGTTCAGACTGAACTGTTTGTATATTCAACATTTGAACTATATTCTATTTTGTTGTACTCTTGTTTCAAAGTGTATTAAAGTAGATTTTACTGAAATATAAACAGACATTTGAAACAAGATGTTTGTTGTCGTTTTCTTCATGTTTTTATGGATTTATTCTTGTTTTTACTTTTTGTGTGTGTGTGCGTGAGTGGGTGTGTTGATTTGTTTTAGCTTAATTTGGCCATCTCGGTAATGTGATTTAGTTACTTCCAACTATTTCCATAAAGTTTTGTGTGAGTTATTTTATCCAACCCTATAAATGTAAAATGAACCCGGGAGGGTGGCCTTGTTACCTAGGTTACTTCTAAAATACGATTACATTTTTTCAGTCTATCAGAAACGCATTGAATGCACACTGTTTCTGTGGTTACTTTGCACGTTCCGCTATTCAGTTGGTTTAGTTACACAATGTATTGTTCCACTGATAAGGTAGACAAAGATAAGTCAGAGTGATATTCAGGCGTGCTGCAGCTGAAAAGACGCTCATGAACACAGATGATTGAAAAAAAATAGGGTTGCACAATCCTATCAGAAATGTTTTCAAAAGTTGTGGACAAAATCCTTTTTGTTACGTATCTGCCCCAGGAAGGCCTCTGGACCGGACAGTATCTCCAGGTGTCTACTAAACTCTTGGAGCGAAGAGATGGCAGACGCCTGATGCCCCATCTACCATAAGTCTAGAGATGCACACTCAGTTCACTCCATCTGGAAAAGCTTTTTTATTATTCCTGTTCCCTAAAAAGCAAGCTGTAAGGAGAATATGGACTACCGTCCGGTTGCACTTCACTTCACTTGCAATGAAGTGTTTTGAAAAACTTGTGATCAACCTTGTGAAAACAGATGAATTGTTCTTTAGATCCCTTTCAGTTTGCTTATTGGAGTAACAGAAGTACAGGTGACACCGACATGGTCATGACACATTTCATTAACAGGCACTTAGAGGATCCTACCTCATATGCATGCCTTTTATTTGTTGAATTTAGCTCGGCTTTTAATATGCTGCAGCTGCATCTTTTAATTAAGAGGCTGAATGACTTTAAAGTTCACCCTCTTAATATTAAATGGTATCATTCATTTTTTACAAATCATAAATAGCAGGTCAGTGTCAGTGGATCGCTATCTGAACCTAGAACTTTGAGCGCGGGAGCCCCCTAGGGATGTGTCAGTTCACCGGCCCTGTTCACTTTATACACTGATGAGCACAGTTTTTATCCCGACAATCAAATCATTAAATTCTCAGAAGACACTGCAATCTTAGCTTTATTGAAAAAGAACTGCAACCTTCAAAGGTTTGTGAAATGGTGTAAGGACAACCACCTTGTGTTAAATGTTGACAAGACAGAAGATATGGTGTTTGACCCAAGGGCAGTCGGTGACCACACGCAAGTGGTCATCCACAACCAATCCATGGCACAGGTCTAATCATTTAAATATCACGGTGTCTTTTTTGACAACTCACTACCCTGGAACACCAGCTGACAGTTTCTGCAGCAGATTACAATGGTTGCATTTCTTACGTCGTCTGAGGGTTGGTGGTGTTTAAAAAATTTATGATAATTTTTTATCAGGTAGTCTTAGCCTAATCAGGTACAGTATCACAGCTTGATTTGGTAACCTCTCTGTGCAGTTAAAAAACACACTGTTTGGATTGATAGTCTATTTTTGAACTGGCTACTCTAAGTCAAGCCAATAAGATCATAAATGACTCCTCTCATGTTCTGCATACATAGTATGAACTGCTGCCCCCTGGTAGGAGATTCAGAGTGCCTTGTTGCAGACTGAACAGATATAAACGTTCATCCATACCTCTGTCTATTTTAAACAATGGCAGATAAAGCCAGATCTAGCACTGGATTATGATGATTTGCTGATTTGCATTTTGATAGAGGTATTTTTAGCATATGATGTTATTTATTTGTCTTTTTGTTTTTCCTGTTGCTACGTTGGGTAAAATATTGATTTGTCTATCTACTATGTTGTATTTGTATGGCTGCAGTGTGGGTGTAGGGCCCAAGACAAAGTTTCCACTCTGTGGGACTTTAAAGTTCATCTTGAATCTTGAATCTAAAGTAGCCTTTGACACTAGTGTGTTTCTGTGTCACATAGTGGAAGTTGAGCACATACTTTGTAATGTTAGACAGTAAATGAAAACAGGAACATGATCAGTGCCCATGATCTGATGCTATATAGGGACAGTAGTACCTAGCCATCTTAACAGCAACATTGCTGCAAGTCTTGGAGCCTTGCATTTGCGCAGTATGTCCAGCAATTTTTAATCTGTGTCGCTAGCATGAGGACAAACATGATTATTGCACATTTACAAACTGTCTGGTTGCATATCTGTCACAGCAGTTGGTACTGTTGCAGATTTGATTGTCATATTAATACCAGTGTTCAGACAGCAGTTGATTAACACTTAATCAAATATTTGAGCTGTCAGCTGTACCTGAGAGGATAACGAAGTGCAATGTAACTCCTGGCAAAAGGATATAGCATTGACTTGCCTTATGCCAAGAGGGTTCATGGTTCGAATCCTGGGTGGTGGAGCCCTTCTATGTGGAGTTTGCATGTTCTCCCCATGTCAGTGTGGGTTTTCTTTGGGTTCTCTGGCTTCCTCCCACAGTCCAGACACATGCAGGTTAGGTTAATTGGTGACTCTAAATTGTCTGTAGGTGTGAATGTGAGTGTGAATGGTTGTCTGTCTCCATGTGTCAGCCCTGTGGTAATCTGACATGTCCAGGGTGTACCCTGCCTCTTGTCCAGTGTCAGACCCCTTGCGACCCCCAACAGGATAAGCTGTTACGGAAAATGACTGAATAGTTTTTACTCATTAGGCATTTAGAGGACCCTGGTATGTGGTATGAGTGGCTTAAGTAAGCTATAACCCTTTGAAACCCGAGCAAAATTGTATGATTTTGTTCAAAAACATGGGAAGAAGGCAATGAGCAACAAAAGAAGAAATAACCCAAAAAAATTGCAAGAAATTTGTGAGAAAACAAGAAAATAAGTAAATAAAAAAATAAAATAAAAAATGAACAAGGAAATGACGTGAAAAACAGTGCTTAAAAATTAAGATTATTCTAAACCATAATTTTTAATATGTAATAATAATTCTAAATATAATATTTCCCTGTCTAGTTATTAAAAAAAAAATTCTAAATCTATAATTTTTTGTGGCAAAACATGTGACATTTCTTACCAGAGTTGCTCATTGCCTTTTTTTCCATGTTTTTGATAGAAATCACACCAATTTGCTCAGGGTTCAGAGGTTTAAATACTTGCAAAAGGTATCTGAAAGCAGCACAAGTAAAGAGATCTCACTCCAGGTTTCACAGGGTTAAAGGGTCAATTCAGCCAAATCACAAAACACATTACTAGGGTGAGTGGAATTTTAAAAAATGCATTTGAACAATTCAGCAGCAGGGTGCCTTCAGAAATAATGAAATAATAGTCTCTAGGCTCTTTTAAGAATCCAATACTGAAGGTGACTTTATGCATTTTAAATCCTATGTGTAGGTAATATTATAGAATCCCTTTACACTTAGTCACCTGCATCTGGGCTGTTCACGGTATTTTCGTGGAAGAGTTAAGCTTGCCAAACAATCACCTAATGCCCGCAGGCTTTACATAGTGATTTAATTTATTGTTTTATAGAGGCATTTGTTTAATACTATTGTTATGGAGGCTTCTCTATTGTAAAGGCTCTTGTGAGACTTGAATTTTTGTTTTCTATTATGTGGTTAGGAACTGCTTCTCACACTTCTTTCCAACCTGCTGAAGTCTGGGAAATCAGTACTGCCACAATACACTCACCTCTATTAGACTATTAAAATCTCAAAACCTGGATTTAAAAAAAAACAAAATATGTCTATACAGCTAGAAACCGCTGGGTAATTTGTAGGGATGCATGATATTGGATTTTTTGCCGATATCTGATATGCTAATAGGTAACAACTCATTTGGCTGAAAACCGATCCATTTTTTCCCCCACCTAATTTTTGTGATCAAGTCTCTTCTGTAGTGGAATAAATATCATATTATGCATGCATACTCCTATTGCGATGGCCTACCAGCAGATGGAGACATGAAATAGAACACTTTTCAATGTATGTAATATGAATTCATTGTGCAAATAAGAAAAAACACGTTGGCCAGTTCAAATAGATCATTTTAAAACTGCTATTGGCTGATACTGAGCCAATATTATTGTGCATCCCTAGTAACTTATGTGAACAACTCTTTAATTCCCAAACCACCAAGTAATTAGCAAACTAACGAGAGTGTAGTTAAAGAGATTAAAGAGTAATTATGCAGAAAACTGTACTTCAGAAACAGCAGTCATCAAATATAAGCCACACATGTGGAGCAAAAACACTTTATTCTTGCATATATTTATATATATGTATATATTTAGACAAAAAATTTTCCAATCCATTCATTAGTTTGACTGTATGGTTTGTGTTTGAGTACAGATGAAGGTACAGATCAGTAACATTGTGCAGGAAACACACGCATAATATTAGACTTTGGGGAGGTAGACGATGCTGTTGCTCTGCACCTTCATCATAAGTTATCTGACTTTTCCATCCAGTCAGAAGCTAGCTTCCATCTCTTGGCATCTCATCTGCAGGCCTTCTCCTTGAGTGAAGCCAACCAGGAGCCGATGTCGACTCCGTCTCTTCTTAGCTCAGCCTGTTCCTCTGCGCTGGATCATTATTTCCCTCTCACTTCTCCTACTTAAAGCTGAAGTCACAAACCAAAGAGAGATGATCAGATGGATAGCCAAAGGATGGAAGCCTGTTTGGCCCAATCTGTTCCTCAGTGGGCATGTCCAAAACTGCGTCCACTCTAAGTGTGTCCTGGCTGTACCAGATGTAGTCCAGAGTGGCACAACATTCTCCTGTTGGCCGAATCTTCCATGTTGTGTATTGTGGTTCAGTCAAACTGTCCGGACTGAGTTTCTTATAGGCTGAGTCCAAACCCAGAGGTGATGCGCTGAAACGTTGGTACACCTCCTCAGTTGGGATTGCGTTGAAATCTCCACATATTAGCAAAGGAATGTCAGAGCTGGGGGCAGCCCCAGGATCACTGGAGTGTTTCTGGACCAGATTCTGGAGGTGTCGCAGGAGGTCGGAGCCCTGGGCGTTGCGGAGCCACTCCCACCCAGAACGAGCCTTCAGGTGTGTCACTGCCACACACACGCATCTCTGTGTGCTCCGACAACGCAGCATCATCACGACGGCAACCTTTTGCAAGAAAGCAGCCTGTTAGAGATGTTTTTGAATAGCTTTTGTGTTTGTCCAAGTGTGGCTTTACACAGATTCTACCCACCTGATTGGTTGGAATCCTCATTGCAGAGAGCCGTATGTTCACGCTATCCTGGAGCTCGAACCGTGACTGATCGAAGAACAGAGCGCAGCCATCAGGGCCGTTGTTGCCCTCCACATCCAGGCACGGTGACCAGGGTTTAGGGCAAAAGTTGCTACTGTAACCCAGGCCTGCCAGAACTGGCTGGAGGGTGTCATAGTAGTGGTCAACTTCCTGCAGACACAGGATATGAGGTTGGTAGGTGAGGATCTCCTCTAAGATAAGGTATTTCCTGCGGGACCAGCTGAGGGCCTCTGGGGGACACTGGACAAAATTGTCAAGTCCTTCGCCGAGAGCTGAAGGACAGAAGAAAGAGGGACATCAGATTTTAGTAGACAGTTAACCTTGTGTGACTGAACAATGCTCCATAGTTTATGTTTGCATGATAGGGGTTTTATTTTGCTAGTTTTTCCAATTACCTCCACTAGCTAGCTTAACTAATTGCTAACTATGTCTACAGTTTGGTGCTGGGCAGGTAGTGTACATTGGCTTTATGAGAGATTTGTCTGTAATAAACTGCCAAAAACACTTACAGTGTGGGCCATACAACCCCAACAGAGAGGCTAAAATGCTCCATAAAGCTGCTGAGTCTGGGAGACATGTATAGCTGCAGACACATTCCATGTGTAGCTTACATTACACACACCAACAGACCACGCCCGCCATTAGTACAAGACAAACACAGCGCGATGGTTATCTGAACCCCGCTACAACATGGTGTAATTAAAAATAATTTAGCAATAACACATTTTATAATTTATTGTAAATGAAGACCTGATTCACCTTATAAGAAACAAGATGTTGCCCTTACCATTAGCCTTCCCCTAATCTTAACCACCTCTCTTTTAACCTAAAGGCCCTGACACGCCAAACCAACTTCACAGAACTAGCAGTAAGGAAGGCCCCGTGCTGCGTTGCCTCACGTCGCTGTCTCAGACAAAAAGTTGCACATGAACACACCGCAAAGAAAGATGTTCTGCACCTGCATGAGAGGAAATAACTCTCCACACCAGGAGAAAGTGGTTGTCTGTATTCGTCATTCAAAACGGGAAACTGGAAGACCTTCATGAGGTTAATTAGCACATTAACAACCCAATCCAATGTTGAAAGAACAGCTTACTGTGCGCCAGTGATCAATAACACAAACCATCAGGAAACATTTCTGCTAAAGAGCTCAATGGCTAAAAAAATATAATCTGACCTTACGTAACAAGTTTGTTTTTCGGTCTCACTCCCAACATTGAGGGATGGTCAGCGTTCGACTAGCTTCTGCTGCCCTATTTGATGAGATGTGTTTTTTTGGCTGATTCATCATGCTGTATCAGCAACTATGATGGCAGAACCCGTCAATGAATGAAATCACTGTGATTGCCAGTTCAGCTCAGCGCATGAGAAGAGCAACAGAGGTGAGGAAAGTAAACAAAGAGCTTAAGTCAGGAGGGAGTGAGCTCTTCAGCAGAAACGTTTTCTGATGTTTAGTGTTATTGATCACTGGGGTATGGTAAATATGCTCTGTTCTTGTGCTAACTGGCTAACTCCATCAACATGGTCTTTCCGTTTACCTCTTTGAATGACGATAACAGACGACTGCTGTCTGCTGGTGTGGAGAGTTATTTCATCTCACGCAGGCGCAGAACGTACGTACATACTGGTTGACCATCAGCTGAAGTCTTTGCAGTATGTTTATGTGCAACTTTTGTGTTCATGTGCAACGAAGTCGGTTTGGTGTGTCTGGGTCCTAATATGTTACCGTTAGCGAAACACTAACTTAGCATTTTCTTCAGGGGTTCCGCTTCTTGACCAAAAAGCAAAGGGCGCTGATTGCGGGCTGACTTGGAGGTTATGGTTGGCAGGTCACGTAGCTGCTCCAGCTGCAGCTATACCTAGATAGGGTCCGTAGATAATTATTTGTGGGTTTGTCAATACGGGTGACCTCTTTCAGGTTACACATATTAATTTTATCGGTTTGATTAGGTTGATTAGTTATTATTATTATTAGCTTTGACTTGCACAAACATAAAAGAAAGCAGGGAAGTTTGAGACCTGATATCAATTGAACTATTTATTTAAACACTAGGAATAAGGATCAGCACAGAGTTTGAAAGCCACTTGTGTCATCATATCTCATTGTATCCCAAATAAACTTTTTTATACAACTGTTTGGAAGCTAATGTGTCACTGGATATATCAAGGCATACAATCCACTGTGATGTGATGTGATATTAGAAGGGCTAGAAGTAGCCTACCTTGGGCCAGGATGTTCCACTGCATCACCCTGATGGGGCTGCTTGGGGTGCTGTCTCCATCACTGATGTGAGTGAACTTTCTGTGGAAGCGAGGCTGTCGGTCCCTGAGGGCCTCCTCACACTGTCGAAGCAGCTCCACTGGATCAGGGGCACATACGGGGGACACCTTCTGCTCCTGTTGGACAGACATGATACCCTTTATTTCACCTCAGGAGGTAAATGACTATACATATCTGCTGCATTTTTGAATTGATAAAGTGAACAGATGAGGGGGGGGTCACCTGACAGAAAGCTGGATCCAGGTTTGTGACTGCAAGCTGGTGAGATGGAGGGAGGGGGAGAGGAGAGCTGCTGCTGAGGGTCTGAGTCAGGGTGCCGTACAGCCTGGTGGCCCCACCACCCATCGGACACACTGATTGGAAAAAAATACAAAGATGGTGATGGTGTGAAGCTGGAGAAAAATAAAACATTAATATTTGTCATTTTAACGACACATCTGTGGTGCAGTAACTGGAGCTGAGAGTTATTTTTAGACACATCTGTAAATGAATGGCCAGAATACTTCTGGTAAGCAGGTGGTGCTGTTTTCTATTTACTGTGTTTGTGTTACATTATGAGATGAGGGAGTGAGCACCCCTAACAGGCTCCACTGTCTCAGCAGCCAAGTCATGTGGAGAAGCCTGACAAATCCCTGTTTTTTTAATTCACACGGTGGCTGAAGTGCTTCTGCTTCGTGGTTGCAGCTCACTATTAGTCCCCTTCAACATCTGTCCACTCACATGTGAACTAAATCATTACTGAGACCTGGGATTAAGACTGATGCTTCCCAATGACTACCACAGACCGACACTGGGTATTAAAAGATAATGAACCTAAAATAAATTGTTTGCCACAGCTGGCAACACAGTTTACACCTGCTTTAACAATTTTTTTGGCCACTTGGGAGCAGCACATATTGTCACTATATATAGTGGCATGCACAAGTTTGGGCACCCCTGGTCAAAATTTCCTTTACTGAGAATAGTTTAGTGAGTAGAGGACGAGCTGATTTCCAAAAGGCATGAACATTAAGTGAAACATGGTTTTCAACATTTTAAGCAAGATCAGTGTATTATTTTTGTTTCGTACAGTTTGAGAGTAAAAAAAAATTCATGCAAAAGTTTGGGCACCCCAAGACATTTGAGCTCTCAGACAACTTTTACCAGGGTTGCAGACCATAATTAGCTTGTTAGGGCTATTACGTGTTCAAAATCATTGTTAGGAAAGGCCAGGTAATGCAAATTTCAAAGCTTGATAAATACTCCTGAACCCTTGTCCCAGCAATCAGCAGTCATGGGCTCATCTTAACAGCTGCCTAGCACTCTGAAAACTAAAATAACCCACAAAACAGGAGAAAGCTATAATCAGTCAATCAATTTTATTTATAAAGCCCAATATCACAAATCACAATTTGCCTCACAGGGCTTTACAGCATACGACATCCCACTGTCCTTGGGGAATGGGGGAAAAAATGGTAGAAAGCTGAGGAAGAGCAACTGAGGAGGGATCCCTCTTCCAGGACGGACAGACAATCAATAGATGTCGTACAGAACAGATTAACATGATAAATTAACAGTAATCCGTATGACACAATGAGACAGAGAGAGAGACATGGTAGCAAAGTGTTTTCAGGTAGTTCTTTCTTCAGTTTGTAATGTTATTAAGAAATGGCAGTTAACAGGAACTTTGGAGGTCAAGCTGAGGTCTGGAAGATGAAGAAAACTTTCCTTTCTGACAGAGCTGCTCATAGGATTGTTAGAAAGGCAAATCTAACCCCCCTTTGACTGCAAAAGACCTGCAGGAAGATTTATCAGATTCTGGAGTGGTGGGGCACTGCTCTACAGTGCAGCGACACCTGTATAAATATGACCTTCATGGAAGAGTCATCAGAAGAAAACCTTTCCTGTGTCCTCACCACCAAAGTCAGCGTCAGAAGTCTGCAAAGCAAACATTCAAACAAGCCTGATGCTTTATGGAAACAAGTCTTGTGGAGTGATGAAGTCAAGATAGAACTTTTTGGACGCAGTGAGCAAAAGTATGTTTGGAGAAAAAAAGGTGCAGTCATTCATAAACAGAACACCTATCCAACTGCTGTACACAGGGGTGGATCGATCATGCTTTGGGCTTGTGTTGCAGCCCGTGGCACGGGAACATTTCACAGGTTGAGGGAAGAATGGATTCGGTTAGATTTCAACAAATTCTGGAAGCAAACATCACACCATCAGTAAAAAAGCTGAAGATGAAGAGAAGATGGGCTTCTACAAAACAGGACAATGATCCTAAACACACCTCAAAATCCACAATGGACTACTTCAAGAGGCACAAGCTGAAGGTTTTGCCATGGCCATCACTGTCCCATGACCAAAACATCCTTAAATATCTGTGGAAAGACCTCAAAAGAGACTGAAAGACTCTTAGCTGGTTACAAAAAGAAAACCATCTGTTCATGCAATTTATGCCTGCATTAGTATTTAACTCTGTGCTGTTTGTGAGAACTCTGAACTGCAGCAAATTAAGGCAAAGTGCAAACTGACCCATAGTTGTTAACTTCCAGCTGTAGCAGACAATAAACAGTAATACTAAAAACACTTGAGCTTTAGGTCTTCACGTGTTTTCATCTTTCATTTTCAGCAAGAACACTTCAATAACAACAAAACAAAAACAAATATTTGTATAATCTCATTCAGGTTGGTGCTCACATTTTCTAGAAACAGGTATATTTCACCCAATCAATTTTTTTGCATAGACGTCAGTCATTTCTCAAACAAAGTAATGCACACTTACACTTACATAAAACTGAGACTGACCTCTGCTCTGTCAAACAAATTCTGGTGACTAACTTCTCCCTGGCTCCTGTAGACCAGAACTATATGACTATAAAAGGAGGAAACAGATATTGTTCCTACCACCGATGTTTAGGATCTGTCTAGTTCTGTGTGACTGAGTGGTAACAGGACTTAAGTGCCAAGGGTCACTTAACATACACCCTGGTGCATTCAGATAAACATGGACAGACCTTTGTGCTCCGTCAAACAGTAATGTTAATAATGACACGGGTCCATGTCTGTCCATATACATGCCAGCACCAGCCTGTCTGAATATGGTGATTAAACCCACGCTCTCTGCTCCACAGCACCATCAGACACAGAACATCACTGTTGCCCTGATCTTTGATTCTGTATATTCAAAATGACACCAGGCCTATCTGTGCAGTACTATAAACATGGCCTCAACTACAGAAAAATCAAGAATAGCTGACTCTTACCCATAGTGTCCATCACTGTCCACAGCTATGTCCACTCCACACTTGAGTAAATTGTCCTTAACACCTCCCTTTAACAGATACTGTATATTGCTGTCAGCTGATTAAGCTTCCTGGCTGAACTGAAAGTGTGTTCAGTCCAACAGGAGACAGTGACAGGTGTTTTTTTTGTCAAAGTGAAGGCACAAATCTGACTTCTCGCTGAGCACTGCTGCCTGTAAAGCCTCAGCGAGGTAGAGAGAGACAGGGAGACAGAGATTAGGAAGTACAGACGTCAGCGGGCCATATGGAGTATTACAGGTCACGTGGTGGTGAGGGAGAGAGGAATACACTATGCTCTCTCACAGTCACATACACACAAGCTTGACTGTGGCTGATATATTTCTGATACATAATTGTAGGGACTTATGTAGAGGTTGTCACACCCTCATCTCAAACACTGGCAAAAACATAATACTAGAGTCACCAAGGTAACTATAAGTCAGGCTGAGAACAGAGAATAAGTACATTTTAATGGTTTACAGTTTAAACAGTTACAACGGCACCACAATGACAGCATGACTATGCGCTGAGCTGAGCGAGTGTGTGGGTCTGTGTGTGTTTTGCAACAATAACTTCCTCAGTCTGCATGTTGTAACAGCACCCAGGTCAGTTTGATAACATTAGTGACGGTAAATTGTGATGTCAGTGTTATTTTCCATGTGCAGTAGTACACTGTACTTTTCCAAACTATAGTTTGGGCTTGTATCAAAATTATTCACTGAATAAGAAGCTGCAGTTCATGTGGTTTGTGGCTTGAACGATTCACAGGGTTCCCACACATTTTCAAAACTTTTCCATGACTTTTTTAAAGGACCCATAATCGACCGTTCACGGCATATAACATGAACAGAACTGCACAGTATACTTTAATCCAAGTCTTAATTATTGTGTGAAAATGAATCAGCAACCTTTTCAAATCTCTAATAGTTGATTATGTTCATATTAACATAAAAAACTCCAAACTATGGGCACAGTCATACAACCTCTTACGAATATGAGTCTGGCACTGGCTTTCAGGGAAAATGGAACAGATTATACTGTGAGTGTATTCTTTATTCATTTGATTATAAACTCATTTCAGGATGCAAGTCTGAAAACAATGCAGCAACATACAGTTTTGGTCAAAATTATTAGCCCCCTTTATGACATCAAACAAAACCTTTAACCTTTCCATGGAAATGACCATAACCAAAAGTGTTTATAGTTTAACTGCTTCCAAAAAAACGAAGAGAAAATCTTCACTAAGCTTGATTAAAATATTTCACTGATAAGCTGAATTGAAACAAGAAAAAGACAAAAATGACAAGGCCCAAATTATTCGCCCTCTAACAATTAATAGTCAATACTGTAACCTTTCTGACTCACAAATGACATCAACATCTTATGGTAGTTCCTAACTAGGTTGGCACACGCCTGTTGAGGGACATGTCTGTTGAGGGACCTTGTGTGGTTTTTGAGCATTGACATTAATCTTGACCGCCCACCACAGGTTCTCAAAAGGACTGAAATGTGGCTCTGAGTGGGCGACTCCAGGACTTTGATTTTGGTTTCCTTCAGAGAAGTTTTGGACCAATTTTGATGTATGCTTTAGATCATTGTCTTGCTGGAAGACCCAACAGTGACCTAAAGCTAGACTGGCAGCAGATTTCTTTACAAAATGTCAACATAATCTTCTTTCTTCATGATCCAATGCACCTGGACAAGGTTTCCTGTGCCTGAAGCAGCAAAACAGCCCCACAGCATTATGCTCCCACCACCATGCTTAACTGTGGCCTCTCCCTTCCTATGCCAGAAAAAAAGCAACATCCATGTGCCCAAACAGCTCAAGTTTGGTCTCATCTAGGGCTGACCCAAAAAATTCGAAGCTTCGAAGCTTCGTTCGATGGTACGGGATTCGATTGTGAAAAAAAAATTCGAAGCTTCGGCGCTTTTTTTCCCCCGTTTTTTTGGGGGAGGCCTAAAACGCAACACTAACCCCGTCAACGAGCCACGAGCGCACTCAGAGCCGCTCTGAGTCTGGTGTCAGAGACACTTCTGATGCTCTGAGCTGCGCATCTGTTTGATTGTGCTGCAGTGTGCGCCGAGGGTTTTAATTTAAGGTGCTCACAGACTCGGGCGCACTATAAGCGGAGCGTTGAGCGCACTTCCGCGTTGTAGTTTCCTATAAACATGTCCGTGAAACACTACATTACCCCCAATTCTTGCGCGTCTCTGTCATGGGGATGTGAAAAATACATGCCGAGCAGTCTTTTGAGTGACACTGGGGCGCGGAGCGGAGTCGTAAAATCTGAGCTTTGCGCGCACAGGGCTTGCGGACATCCGTCCCCCCCCCGTCGTCGTCGTTGAATGCTTCGAATTATATTCGTTCTGAGCTCCGAAGCTTCGAATGTCCAAATATGGATTCGAAGGTCAGCCCTAGTCTCATCAAACCAAAGGACAGACTCCCAGAACTCATGCCCATGTTTCAAATGTTCTCAGGTGATGACCTTTAAATGCAAAGAAAAAAAAAATCATATGGGTGCTAATAATTTCGACCACCTCCATTTTCACTACATTTGGTACAAAATAGACCTGAAGATTTATTTTACATTACAAAATGTACCGCATAGGGGCCTTGACACTGATGAATGTTTTACTATATTAAGATTTATAAATAATGCATACACTGGGCAGAATTTTTAGGGACATGTTTCATAGTTCCTCGGGGGAAATAATTTTGACCTTAACTGTAAGAATGTAGGCTTAGATGTGGAAGGTTATCTACATAAGATCAATTATTAATTAATTGTCAAATGACTTTTCCAAACTTTTTATGATTGTTACTAATTCCATTACTTTTCCAGACCTGGAAAATGAGATTGTGAAATTCCCTGACTTTTCCAGGTTTCCCATGACCCTGGATTTAAGAAAATACATTTCTGCGACATATAATTATATAAATGTATCTAAAGGATACACTGCTCTTTAACTGAGTTACTACCCACAGACTATCAAACTGTGAAAAGGGGTAGAAATAAAAAATTCTTTATTTAAACAGTTTCCTGACTTTTTGACCTCGTAAGCAGCATGGGCTGTGGTTTTAGGCATAGCAATGTCAATCGGTCTGCCATTTTGATCTTAAGTATTTTCCTAACTATACTGGATGAATTGTCATGAAATTTTATACCTAAGTCCATTTTCTCCCTCAGGATAAACTGTAATAACATTGGTGATGCCTTTACTTTTAATCCTGCACCATCATGAGTCAAAATTTCAACTGATTTATGATTAAATACCCACAGAACTAATGACATTCCCATCTGTATCAGCTGCACTTTGTGTTTAGGAATAACTAGCAAATGTTAGCATGCTAACATGCCAAGCCAAGATGTTGATCATGGTAATCATTATACCTGATGAACATCAGCGTGTCATCAGTATCCTGAGCATGCTGATGTTCATTTAGCTCAAAATAGCCTCACAGAGGTGTTGCTTTAGACTTAGTGGAAGTAAATTCCACTAATCACATGAAAAAATGCAGAGATGAGATTTTTTTTTTTTTTTTTCAGTTTATCATTTCAGGATCCCCTCAACATGTTGATTAAAAATGCAAAAGTTGCAGCAAACAGTGTCTGAGTCTAAATCCGCATTCTGCAGAGATATCTGTGAAACATCCACTTGTTCATCTTCAAAGGGCCAGTGTGTAATATTTGGCATGGTTTATTGTCAATCTGAATCTGAATCTGAATTTAAAAAAAACCCCATTAATATGATTATATAAGTGTATAATCGCTATAAAATAAAATTTGTTTGGTTTTCGTAGCCTTATAATTATGCTTTTATATATATATGTATAGCAAGGTCCTTGCTTTAGAGAGGTCGCCATCTTGCACCGCCATGTATGTAAGGCAGACCAAGCGGACAATCCAGCCAGCCAGAGAACGCGTTTTGCGTGTATAAATAAACCAACGAAGACAGCGGAAGGAAGGAAGAAGGAGGAGGAAACAGCAGAGAGTGTTAGTAGTTCGTCGATAGAGAGTAGTGAAAAGTTTTTTTAGTTATAAAGTTTGCGAATGGACCACACTTACCACGCAACAGGAGAGAATGAACCCGAACCGTCATCTGCGAGGAAAAGAAGACGCAACTTCAGTCCTTGTGATGCACTCTCTGCGGCGCTTTTCCTCCTGGTGATATATCTCCCCAACAATGGCAGCAGTAGCACCGAATCCCATTCTGTGCATTCAGCCTCTCTTCTCGCCCGCACAGCATCAAACACATGGAGTTCCTCATCTGTGTGCTCCGGCTCAAACAGGTATGGCTCTGGGTCTGTGTCCGCTACAAGAAACTCTTCAAAATCACGTTCAAAGTCGTCCATTGCAGCTACTATAGTCCGGAGATATTGCTAGTCTAAATAAACAGCTGAGCTCTGTTTACCGGCTACGCTGTCAGTCAGTGTGCGGGCTGGAGATTGGCAGAGCAGAGAGGGGAGGGGGTCCCCACTCGGTATGGTAAACGAGTATGTGTGTATGGACTGTGTGTGTTACGCTAGAAGAGTCAGAGTTTGGGACGGAGTCTTTTACCCCCTGGAGTGTTACTGGAGTTTTTGGAGTGCTCAAATAAACTGGCCTTTTTCCCGAACGCTCCTCTGGTCTCCTGCTCGAGAGGGATTCATTACAATATCGTAACATGGTTTAGATTTCTAAATAAATATTCACCTTCTCACTAGATAGACCTACTCCTGAAAAACTCGTGCGCAAGGCTTTTTGTTCCTATGAGGCCACCGTCATTTACCCGACGGGAGGGGTGAGCGAGTGAGCCCTGCAATCTAGAATTTGACCACTGATGTCACTGTTTTCAACCCGTTTTACACACTGGCCCTTTAAACATTAACATTAATTGCTGCACGTGTGTACTTCGTGTGCTAAATAATTCTCATGATTTATGAGAAAAGACAAAGCCATCTTACAATTGGATCACTTCAGCCAGGATACAGCGATCTGCAGCTTAAATCGAATGTTGGCTAGGAGTGTAAAGCAGGGGGCCAAAGGCCTCTTCCCTACTTTCTACCCCCCTTCCTCTAGCCCCCTTGCTTGGACCCATCCATCTTCGAACTTGGTGACCATTGTGATCTCAGTTACACGCCTGTAAAGTTTCATGAGCCAGGGGCATAGAGTGGGGGAGGGGGGCAATGGCCCCTTCCCTACTTTTTACCCCTCCATTTCTAGCAACTTGCTCGGACTACAGCCATCTCTGAACTCTGAACCCCGTAAAGTTTTGTGACTTCATCTTGCATGGTTGCAACATTATCACATTGACAAATTCTGTCCACAGACAGACAGACAGACAGTCAGACAGACATATAAACACCTGGTAAAATACTTAAAACGGCTTCTGTGGTAGGCCTAGTTCCCGATACAACAGGTGACACAAGGACCATATTTTGCCATAATGACACACATACAGACTAACAAAGTGAAAATAATACCAGCAGTCACAACATATTTGCAGCTGGTAATTATTCCTCTC